TGACGATGGTTTTGGCGAATCTCTTCATATACCGCTTCCAAATCTCAGGGTCGGGACACTCCAGCTTGGAGACCACGTCGAAGCATTGTGTTAGCTGTGTGAAGACATCTACCACGGAGTTGCTGAACAATGCATGCTCGCTGGACTTTTGGAACTATAGAAAAAAAACATTAATTTTGTTATTTCAAACTACATATGATGGAAATGTAATTTCTTTTAAATCTTGTGTAAAACAAAATGATAATATGCTTTATTTTAGACACTTCATCAATAAAACACGTGGGAAGAAAAAATATGGTAACCTTGTTTTTTGGTGAAATTAATTTTTAATATTGAACAAAATGCACCTAAACCATATTTAAATATTGAATTCAAGCAGTTTATAATCACCCCCGTTATCATGTAAAATTAATATGATCTTTGTGTTCTTTGCTAATACTTTTTTATCTTCTTGTGGACTCTTACCCCGTCTCTCTTGTCTCTGTTGAAAGCACCATTGAGATACTCGAGCGATACGTCATCGTTCTCGTTGAGCCACTGCATCACGAAGGGCTCGAACCAGGCCGGGTACTCGGGCACCGCACCACAGTATGGGGGCACATCCTTCACGTAGTTTGTGTGCAGCCATTTCACCTGTTATAACAAGGAAGAGTGAAATGTAAATACTATTTAAAAACGGTGTAATTTAATTTGCTTTGTTTATTTGATTAACTAGCTTTCGCCCGTGGCTGCGACCGCGCGAATTATAAAAAACAAACGTAACGTGTTCTTCCAGACTTTGTTCTACATCTATGCCAAATTTCATCGATATCCGTTCGGGAGTTTAGGCTAGAAACTCAAACAAACACAGAATATACCTTGAAGTGTAGATTCATATAAGCGGAAGACTTGCAGAGCCTGTGCTGTTCGTGCTCCTCTAAAGCGTACTTCATGTCCACTGCGAAGAGAGACCACATCGTTGCTGCCGATAGCTGGAATAATAAAAAAAGTCACTCTTAACTTTTCCTACGACGACTACTACTATTGTAGATCTATATACTTTACTAGTTAACTGCCTTCCACCATTTGGGCTAAAATTAGTTATATCAGATCTTCTAATGAAATCTTACCTGACCAATGTTTAACTCTTGTGGGAACTGATTAAGGACGGGGGCGTAGCTGTTTCTATCTTCCTCTATGACTGACACTATCAGTGCTATCAACTTGTGCCAAAAGTCTACCGAGTCCAGCTGAGGTCCGTGATCAGATGGGTCTCGTTTAGCTTCGTTAGGGTCCACCTGCAAATTGTATACTAAATGTAGTATTAAATCAATTTAGTAGTAGCAGTCTAGTTTTCTTCTTCGTCCTTTAAAAAAGAAGTTGGTTGGGAAGTCTAAGTGGATTTTTAAGAAGAATGTATTGAAAAAGAAGTCATCCTTTATTTGAACTGGCTGATTTTGTTCAACTATTTGCTAATCGTAGAAAAGTTACCTGAAACTCTCTATTGTACAATTCGTAGCAGTTTTCGAAGAGAAACTGGTAAGTTGATCTGAGGCACGCTTTGACGCAATCCTTGACGACTGTACTCGCACGAGGTGGGCTACTTAGTTCTTGAACCTGAAAACAATAAAGAAAATTTGGAACACTCTGTTATTTTTTACTGCAAGTAAAAACATGCCAATAGCACGTATTTGATTATCTTTGACATTACAGGTACCAAAACAGCTGGATTTATGATTTGATAAACATCGTACAATTAACTGTAGAAAGATTTAGAAGCCAACACGTTTTATGGAATTAATCACAATAACCACACATACACAGTATCCAATATTAGTATACCTTCATCCTGAAGAACGTAATACTGGTGAGCAGGTCAACAGTGGACTTGAGGTCCATCAGTTTCTCAGCGCTGGAGGCAGGGAAGTTATTTCGGTACATCGACAGATCGATACGTAGCGAGTTGTGCAGCTGATCCAGTAGTTTTACGAACTTCTCTTTCTGTAATGAATTAGTAGAAGTGTAATTCGATTACCAATAAAATATTTGTATTTATTTGTATTTGTATTTGAAGTTATCATACATCTATTGTACACATTGATGACGAAATGAAAAGATATGAGTGAAGTCAACCAGCCAGCGTGGTTATGGCCTAGTCACCGTTAACTTAAGCTCCGAGTCCCTCAGTGGGGACGTAGTAGACGTAGTGAGATGGTGATGATACATTTATTTAATCAAACAAGATGACGTCTGGACTTAAATATGGATTTGGTTTGCACCAAAACTCTCAGAACCTTTTAATAGTTATTAAGGAAATGTACATTGAGAGACATTCTTAGTGTAGATTTCTACTAAATAATATTAAAGTGATATTCAAAAATGAAAGTAGATAATTCTTAATCTATAACCGGTGTAAATCTAATTGATTTGTTAGATCTGAAAAATGTTGTCTTTAATAAATAATGAATATAATTTAAACAATGTAGAGGTCATATTAAACACGAGTTCCACGGAATGATCTCATCTGCATTTGACCCAGTAACTTGTAATGTTGAGAACAATTAACAAAAGTTTTTTGTGTTGGTCACACAATGAAACTTAAAAGTGCTCATAGTCGCGGCAAGCATTGTTTAAGCTATACCAGTGAAACATGGGGCAAATTAAACAAGCCGTTCATTTAAAGTTTTCATGCAAAATGTGGGGTATTTGGAGAATTAAACGAAAGGACAGAAAACATAAGACGAAGTTTAACTTTAAACGTGTAAAGCAATTTAATTGGTGATAAAATAACTAAGTTTAATGCTTCTTTGGAACGAGAAGATATTTCAGAGTCGTTCATTGTCTGAAGTTTAAATGAGAAATTGTTATTTGTATTGAAATGCGGCATTTTTGCTCGGACGAATAGATCATAGATGGATTTCTCTTACTTTTATGACAATAAGTACTGTATGAGAGTATTTATAAGAAGTTTTTAACGATTAAAAAAATAAATGCGGGATTTAGTTAGCGAAAGTTACCAATAGCACAAACACAATACTAATTTCTTTAAAAGAAATGTCAGATTTACTGTTTTCCTAGTCAGGTTATAAGGGGTTTTAGTTTCATTTTCTTATCACTTACCTAATTTTAACTTACAAAGGAATTAACAAGATTGAATGTGGGCAGCTACAAAGGTAGAGGACGACTGAATTTAGATATGACGGCTGATTGAAATGTACGGAATAGCAGAAAATACTATGCTGACCGTCCATAAAGAAAAGTTGATGAACCTAATATTAACCTTCAACGTATAATTACCCCAAAGTTAGATGCGGCAAATCTATCCGATGCAGAGACCGCTGATGAGGCAGTCGTGTGAGCGTAGTACGCATTGATGTTGGCCAGAAGTGTAGACATGACAGCTGGTACACCCGCGCACAGGTACTTCGTCGACAGACAATGGAAGTGCCTGCAATTGATATCAAATATAAAAAATAAATAAAAGAAACATATCGAAGAACAATTTCATAGATCGTAGCTCTTCAAAATCAATGAAGCAGTTTAGGCTGCAGAAACATGCAGTTCGGTAAAACAATAATAAGCAACAATAGAAATAAACACATTTTTAAACAAATTTCTATTACGAAATTGTCGATCATATCCTAGTTAATGATAATTTTCTATATTTTAGTATATTTTAAAAAGTTCTTAGGATTGTACAATTTTTTTGTAATTCATTTTAAATGTAGGTATTCAAGATTATTTAAATTTGACAAAATAATTGTGAAAAATTACATTTAATCCGTTCAGTAGCGTTAATAAACAGTTTTATCAAAGGAAAATGTACACACGCGTAATTTTTATACGGAAGTGAAGAATTTGATAAATTCGTCTTTCATATTGCACAAGATTTTCTCTGTGATAAATTGTTAAACATACGTCAGGTTTATTTTTCTGGGAACTTACGTCATGGCTTGATAAATAGCCTCTATGCCGTATCTCATGGCGAATTCATCCACGATCTCTTCTGGTATTTCATTGAAGTATATTTTCCATGCATCATCCCCTCTAGCCGCTGGCAATGTGACCGCACCGCCATTCTCTTCGCACAGATAATGAAACAAATTCTCGTGTAGACAGGTATACTGAAACAAAGACATGGCAGTGAAATGTCTAACATTATGTAAGTCTTTATGGAATACGTTTATTACGACATAAAAGGTTACGAGGGAAATTAAAACGCTGGGATAATTTCATTATGGGTATTATAATTTTCTCGGTGTTAACTTTATTGGGGGCTAAGTTAACCTGTTATTAAGACAAATTTATAGCGAACGGTTCTATTTGAAGTAATTAATTTCATCGTTTAATATTACTTTCATTAAACAAGTAATATTAAACAGGGTTTTAATTAAAAATGTAATTTAATATTAATATTAGTCTATACAAATATTATAAAGAGGAAAGATTTGTATTTTTATATTTTTCATTCGCTTTGCCATTTTAGCGGATTCAGGTAGCCGCTTGCTCATTTGCCACCTTACGTTATAAAAAAAAATTTGTAAGTATTGAAAAAACTTAAAAACTACTAGGCCGATTCTAAACATTATTTAACCGTTAGAAAGGTAATTTATCTGTGAGTAAAATAGACTATATATTTTTTGCTATGTATTAATTTCGCGCGGGTAAAGTCGCAAACAACAGCTAGTTTCTAATTTAATGAAATACACTTTTAGCTATCCTTGAAGATTCGTTAACTGAACTCGAATCTTAAAGTATTGTGTTTTATGTATTTTTGTTATTTTTTTAAGTTAAAAATATCCTTGCACATGCGGTATGATATATTTTTAAAAAAATTCCAATGAATTATTGTTTCTGCTTCAAAATAATTCTTCAAACTTCAAGCGAATTGGAGTGTAAAAACAAATTTAATATTTCAATAGCGTCCGACCAATAGTGACGTAGGTTTTAATATTTTGCTCCCCTCGTTGTTGTACTGGTTACAGCTTTTGAAGCGGCACTGAATACACGCGGGAAATCAAAATGTAGACCGAAAATAAATTGAATTTCCACTGGCGTTTGACCCGAGCCGAGCGCAACAGTGATTAATATGACAGATGTGTATTTTCCATTAACCTCTATTTGCTAGCGTTTAGATTATTTGAATACTAGCTGTTCCCGTGCGGCTTCATCCGCGCGAAATTATAAAAAACTTTATTTTATCGTTTACTAGCTGTCGCCCGCGATTCCGTCCGCGTGGAATTAAATAAAACAAAAGTGAGTAGCCTATATGTTGTTCCAGGCTATCCACTACATCTATGCCAAATTTCAACGAAATCGGTTTAGCCGTTTAGGCTACAAAGTCTAACAAACATCCATCCATCCATCTAAACTTTCGCATTTATAATATTAGTATGAAGTATGAAATTTGTCAAATTCTCAATTGCAAATGTCAAAATTACGGTTATCACAATAACCTTGGTTTCTTAATGTTGGCAGCTTGTAGTTTATAGTCCCTTTCCTGCATGAAGGTTTTTTCCAAATTATTTACCCCCTAAGTTTAATAGCGTGAAAATATATAACCTAAAGCGTGTCGTAAGTGTAGGGTTTTTTTATTAAAGAAGGTTTTATTCAAAAATATGCAATGATTGCCGACATTCTACGCCACTAAGTAATGTGTGTTTACGCTTTATTATATTAGTATAGAAGTATAGATAGAATAACGAAATGTCCCGTAGCGATTACACAGGTCACACACGTTAGGTTTGGACGATTTTGACTAAATCATTTGCCTTGATACTTGTTTTATCTGTATAATTAGAATATGAGGAATGTTTATACGAATGTTACAAATAGAACCTACGTATATGATAACAGTTTAAACCTACATTGACATGCATAACTTAAAGAAAAGATGTTACAATCAGAAAAGTTCTGTTTTGTTTTAACACCGGCCATACTTGTCGATTAAAACCGTTTTGCAAACCTAGCATGTGGCACAGGTATTGGATTTCTTTTCGAGATTTGCTAAAAGACTTTGCCACTCTGCTAGTGCCAATATTGAATAGTTTAATGTCAAAAAGATTGCTACCTGTCAAAATTAGTACTAAAAATGAATAACATTTCTGTGTGATACAATGCTTTAAAATATGGCTCTATGAATTTAAGTCTCGAAGGCACTGTAAATAATGACTCCATTATACAAAAATATTCTACTTTCATGAAACTTTTTCATCTTTTTAATGAAAATCATAAATTAAATGACATTCCGAGAACGGAGAATAATTTTTATGGCCGATGTTTTAAGGTCTGTGCGCTATTCAAATATTATCTATACTATTATAATAAAGCGTAAACACAAACTTCTTTGTCGCCAAAGATGTCATCAATTACAGCATTTTTTTAAATAATTCCTTTTTTAATAAAAAGCCCCACACTTACTTAACACTTTAGGCTATATATTTTCACGCTATTAAACTTAGTGGTAAATAAATTGGATAAAAATCCTAATGTGGGAAAGAGACCATAAGTTGCTGCCAACATCAAGGTAGCAAGACTGTCAAGGTTTGTCATGTCATGTCATTTTGACATTTGCAATCGATAATTTGACAAATGTAAACAATAAAATAAAATTTTCACAATTTCATGCTGATGAAGCCGCACGGGAACAGCTAGTAAAGATATATATTTAATAAATAACTTGCCAATCCTAGTTGTTTAAATAGTACTCAATCAATACTTTAGCGTAGAACTAGTAAACGAAAAGATCTTTACTGACAGTCGTGCTAAAACAGTCTTTGGTTAAGTGTAAATTTTAACTGAAACTAAATTAATGGACTTAAATGCTCACCTGACGACTATGTAATACTGAAGGACTACTTAAGTATCGATTTAACTGTGTATACAGTATACAGCGTTAATTTCACCGTCTACGTAATACTGGAGACGGAGACATATAAAAAAGTACGCACGTTTAATCAAAAGGCCACTTCGTCAGGCACGTGCGTGAGTTCGTCACGTTTATAACAAAAAATATGGCGAAGAATGAGTTAAACGAAGCTTTCTTACGAACATAAAACCATTTCATGATAATATTAGCTTCCGCCTGCGACTCCGTCCGCGTGTAATTAAAAAAAAACAAAAATGACGCCTATGTGTTCTTCTAGAGTATCCTCTACATTTATAAAAAAATGATCAAAATACATTTAGTCGTTAAGGCTACAAATGCTAACAAACATCCATCATCCATCCATCTAAACTTTCGCATTTATAATATTAGTATGATATTTACTACTAGCTTTAAAATAAAAACAAAAGTAACTAGCCTATGTGCTCTTCCAAACTATCCTGTACATTAATGCCAAATGATCCGTCCAGCGGTTTATAATATTAATATGACACGATTTAAGCAAGAATAATGTAAAGTATCGATATTGAAATATGTAAAGATCAGTATATCACCAGAATTTTCATAAAAAATTAAGGTTTTAACACGCTATCACCACGTGTGTGGAATAAGACCAGGTATACTATGTTTTATAGAGTTCCCTTTTTGTTTATTTTTATGCATATTTTCATCATTTAAAATTTGTTTGGAAAATAGAGACAACGTAATATGTTTTTAATAATATATTTTGTTAATAGAAACAGTTAACATTTCTGTGCTTGGTCGTTATTTACGTTTAAATTCGTGTTACTTTTAAAACATCATTTTAATTTTCTTTCCGTGCTTTCAGATTTTAGTTTTCTTTTTCAGCAGTATTAGACTCGACTCTTATTATTTATTTACGTTTTGCCGCAAACCGCAACCTTTGCATATAGCGTCGCTAAGAAAATACTCCAGATAAAAACAGGCATGTATTAACCTAGATTTTTTTATAAAATGACTATAAAAATAAAAAAAACTATCTTCATATATGTTATATTAAATAAATGTTGAGTAAAAAAAGTAGAAAAACTGACTTATTATAGGGCATTCTGCTAAAAATACTCTAGTTATGACCGCACACAAACTTTAAGTGAATACTAAGGGTTAATGTAATCTTTTTGAAGGAGATATTTAAATATTAGAGAGAGATATCGCAACCATAATTATAAAATTACCAACACTACAACCTTATTCATACAATAGACTTCGTGATTTTTTTTATAAATAATGTTTTTTAACTATCAACAGTAAACTATTTGTTAACCCTTAAAAATGTCAGTGCAAAAGATTTTTAATTTGTTTCACATAAACATTATCTTATAACCTTATAGCGTTCGCCCACGACTCCGTCCGCGTGGAATTAAAAAAACACAAGTGAGTAGTCTATGTGTTCTTCAAGACTATCCTCTACATCTATACCCAATTTCATCGAAATCCGTTCAGACGTTTAGGCTACAAACTCTAACATCCATCTATTTATCCATCCATCTAAACTCGCATATATAATATTCTCCTCCTGCCTCCTGAAACGTAGTTGTTATAATTAGTTCAGGAGACAGAGCCCCAATGGATTTTGTAAAAAAGTTTTTTATTTTATCTAATAAAGAGTTTTTTTTTTAATATTACGAGTAGTATGATTTACTAGTTTTTGTAGTATTGATTAGTATGGTTTAATTAATAACGATCAAATTGTATTACGAGCGCGTTGCGGTACGATGATGTAGCGAAAATTTGTCACCGTTTATATTTTAGGCCGCGCTCGCTTTTGCATTCGAAATATTGATTCAGACAGGAATTGACCTTTCGAGTAGACTGGGAAATGGGTCTCACAACTTATACAGCTAAATTTTACTCAAATCAGAAGAGAATTTGAAATAAGTTTAAAGTGGTACTTTGGAATGTCTTTTCGTTCAAATTTTGTTTATCAAGCAATTCATCAATATTAGGTCACTATATGTCCCGAGGGGCTCAGAGCCTACCTAAAATTAGGGTCTAGGCCATAGTGAATCACGCTGGCCCAGTGCGGGTCGACTTCACATATATCTTTGAATTTCTTCGCCGATCAAGCATCACGATGTTTTCAATCAAACAGCTGCTGTATACTCGTTTGAATATCAGGAGTAATTGAAGAATAACTTTTGTTAATTAATAACCTTTATATTTTGATTTTGCAACCGACTCCGTCAGCGTATAATTAAAAAATAAACAAAAGTAGCC